GCAGGGTGGAAGAACCAGTTACCTGTTTGCCACAACTCAGGACATTTCTTCTGCAAATCATGATGCAACCTTCTCAAAACTTCCAGATAAAAACTTTGGTTGACTGTTTGATTTGTAGGAACAAATTCTGAGTGTACTACAAGCGGCCTACCCTCCAAAAAAAATAATAAAACTCCAGTTTTTTTTTTTAGGGGTCCCCTGATATATCAATGTCAATTATTCACTTTGGGGTTTAAGAAAATGACCACTGGGTCTGTGCGTCCACTGTAAGCTGGACCCTGAGCAAGTACTGTTTCCTGGTCACCATATGTAGCCACCCTAACAGGAGGGGACGATACTCCTAGTGCCTGGGTATGAATTTAGACCCAGTGTCCACCAGTCCTCAAAATGTTTGGCTAGACATTTTTCCTCAGAGTGCAGTTATCAAAGGAAATGACTATCTGACCCTTTGAAAGAGGAGTTGAGGGTTCACTTCTGTTAATACTTGTGCTATGTTACAGGTTCTTCTTCATGGTATTTGGCCATATTTTCAGTAGTTTCCATTTCTGGAAACTGACTTTGGTCCAGAAACTGGGCATGGAATCCTAGGGTTTTTGTGTGTGTGTGGGGGGGTGATCTTGATTATTTTAGTCATCTATCCTTGCCTTTTTTCTTTCCTGCAGTAGTACCCATTTCAGCTGTCCATCTATTTTGCTTCTAGGGAAGGTATGTTTATTAGCCATCTATATAACTACAGAGAAGGCCCATTTGGCTGCTACTCAGACCTTGCTATTATAATTGCAGTCCTCTGACTTCCGTCAGTTAAGTGCTGCTTCCTGGCTTTTTTTGTCTTAGGATCACATCATCCCCATTACTATCACTCAGACAAGTTCTGGAACTGTCTTTCCTATTGTCACTCTTGCCTACAGAGATGAGCCATCACTGAACATTTTAGTGACATCAGTGCCCCTTTAATCAGCCTATGTCTAATGACCTTTATAAATGATGTGCTTTTTTGCCTTCATGTGGAATATAATCATCTGGAAGGTCCTCCAAAAGCATGGAGTACATAAACCTCAGCATGCCCACATCTCTGAGCCTTTTACTCCCACTGTCTGCCACAGCAATTCTATTTCAAATTTGCTTATCATGGCCCATAACTTTTTTCATGTGTGGTATTTTAAAAATATATCTGCAAGTTCTTTGATACTCTTCCCTTCAGAAGATGGAGTCTAATTCCTATCTCCTTGAATATGCATGATTTAGTGACTCATTTCTAACAAATGGGATGTAGCAGAAGTAATGGGATGTAACTTATGAGGCTACTTCACAAAAAGGATACAGCTTTTCTTTGTCCTTGGATTGCCCTTGGAATCTAGCCACCATACTGCGAGGAAGCCTAGAACACCACAGGGAGCGGCCATTTATGGGTATGCTGTCTGTCATTCCTAATCTGGGCTCCAGCCAATCTCCAGCAACTGTCAGACAGGTGAGCAGATGAATCTTCACATCATTCCAACCTCCAGCCTCTGAGCTACTCCAGTTGAGGCCCCAGAAACTGGAACAGAGATAAGCCATCCCTACTATGTTCTGACCCACACTAACCTAAAGAGATAATAAATAATTCTTATGTTAAGCCACTAAATGTGTAGTCTTTTGTTGTGTAGCAGTGGAAACACTGTCAATCTAAGAGCCACCCTTTCAGCAAGTTTGCACCCAGTCTTTGCCAGTTTGTTAAATCTCCTATACTGGAAGATTGCTCATGTGTCAATAAACTCATCTATCCAATTTTACATTCCAGCTCCCTTCATCAAGGACCCTCAACATCCAGACTCATATAGGCTTTCCCAGCTCCTACCAGTACACGTTGGCTGGGTATTATAGCTCATTATGAGGTGAACTGTGTCCTCCTCACAAGATGTTGATGTTCTAAACCTCAGTACTTGTGAACGTGTCCTTATTTGGAAAAGGATCTTTGGAGATGATCAAGTTAAAATGAGCTCACTAGGGTGGGCCCTAATCCATTATGACTAGTATATCCTTATAAAAAGGGGACCATGTTTAATGACCTTTGTAAATGGTTATTTATGTTTTCAGTTTGACAGACATACAAGATGATCACCATGTGAACATAAAGGTAGAGATTGGAGCAATGCATCTATAAGCCAGGGAACACCAAAGATTGCTAGCAAGCCACCACAAGCTAGGAGAAAGGCATGGAATAGATTCCCACAGCTCTCAAATGGAACCAACCCTGTCAATACCTTGATCTTAGAATTTCTGCCTAGTTTGTAGTACTTTGTTACCTAGCCCTAACAAACTAATATACAGTTCCTTTGCCGGGGGGGGGGGGGCTATAGTCACTTTTCTATTTCATGTTTCCAGCTAAATTATGCTAAGAAATAACTATAATTATACATCAGTGTCTAAAGGGTGGTGGAGGAGTACTAGATTAATAGGGAAAGGTGAGCCACACGCACAGGCTTCAAAGGTTCAAGGAAGTTTGGGAAGTCAAAACTTTTGAAGGCATTTATCCAGGTATTCATGTGCGATGAGTCCATCTTTTCTTAACCAGGGCTCCAAACTTAGCATAAGAGCATTGCCTCTTTTGGGTGTTATTCTATTTTTGGAGTTCAGTCACTCAGGGACATTAATTTCTGGGCCCGGCCTTTGTCTTTGTCTTGCTGCAAGAAATGAGGGCTTCTTTACATGCAACTGAATAGACTCCCTGGCTATTGCATAGTAGAACTTGGCATCAGCTGGCCAATATTTTTCTTAAAAGTCTCAGTGGTGCTAATCCTCCCTCATAGCTACCATTTTCACCGTATGTGAACTGCCTGCTATTTCACCCACTATGTATGCCTCTTCACTAGTTCATCCTCCTAACTTCACCACTGGAGAGTGATCTGGTCTCAAATCCCATTTACTACCTGCTATATGGTTTCCTCGGGAGCACAAGCTGAGATGGAGTTTGGGGTATAAGATGTCTATCTGGTATTTGCATGCCCTGCAAAGCTTTGGCCAGCCTGTGTGGATCTCTGCAACAAGTACTGCTCATCAGAGATTTTTTGTTTGGCCTAAATGTCCAGACCTTTTAACTCCTGCCTCCCTCAGTAGCCAGACGTGGACTGCCCCAAGATACGACCTCAGGTAAGGTGGTTCTCTGTAGACGGATGCACTTACTCATGCCCACTTCAGGCCATCCTCGCACCACTCACTCGCTTCCCGTAGACATTTAGGAAGCAGTTCCTTCAGGATTCCTGTGGATCTCTTTTTTAGTTCTACCAGGCCCCGCAGGCTCCAAAGGTCCTGCTCTTTCCGTGTCTATTCTCTCACCTTCCAAGGTCACCTCACCGTCCGAGATGGCTGCTGGAGCTCCTTCCTGGCCAACAAAGGGACACCTCCTAAGGCTACTTGAAAACACAAACGAGTTAACACATGTAAAGGCCTGAGGGAAAGGCACACCACTGCTTACGTAGGTGTCTGCTGCCACCACAGCAGAAACACGAAGACACAGGTAAAGTGGAAGACAAAAGCCCCCGCGAAGGAGCAGGCCTAGCCTGAGGAGGAGGGTCGCCTGGGCGGGGGGAAATGCCCCCGAGACCATATGACAGACCAGCGGCCCCTCGAGGCCAGTGCCAACGCCCTCAGCCGTTCCCGTCACAGCAACCGAGCGGCAGGGACTGCAGGCTAGGCGGCGGCCGCCACCCTTCACGCCGGCCAGAGCCCGGCCCCGCGCAGAGCCTGTCGGGAGGGACGCTCTCCAATGGGAGCCCGGAGCGGCCTCGACGCGTTCTCTGTGCCAATGGAAGCGAGGCTTCGGTGTTGCTGGGCGGAGTCAGAGGCCAAGCCTGGGCCTGAGCCCCACCGCGCACGCGTACTCCCCACCTGCCTTTCCTGCCGCGCGCGCGCTCGGTTGTAGGGCCGTCAGGGTTGTCAGGAGCGCGCGTGGTGGCGGCGGCGGCGGCGCGGAGGAGCCGCCCACGCTAGTGCTCGTGCTCGCGCCGGTGCGTTGCAGCCCGGGCCGCGCCCCTGCCCGGCTGCGTCGCGTTCCTAGCCCTGCCGATGCTGGTAGTCTGGCCGAGGGGAGCGACGTAGCCGCGCCCCCCCACCTCCCCCCACCCCAGTCCCGGCCCCCGCCCAGACGCGAGCCGGGCTGGTCATGGCGGACCGCGGGTGCCCGCTGGAGGCGGCGCCGTTGCCCGCAGAGGTGCGGGAGAGCCTGGCTGAGCTGGAGCTGGAGCTGTCGGAAGGTGAGCGGCCGGGACCCCCGCCCCTCTCACCAGGACCCTTACCGGGCCCCTCACTCCTAGATCCCCTCCCCTCTCACGCGGATCCTTACGGGACCCCTTTCACCAGGACCCCGCCCCTCTCACTCGGACCTTACCTGATCCCTCACACCAGACCCCCTCCTCTCTCACCAGGACCCCTAGCCGACCCCTCACACCGAGAACCCGGCCCTTCTCACCAAGACCCCTGCCCGACCCCTCACATCAAGACCCCCACCATTCTCACCTGGACTTCTGCCCCTCACACCGGGACCTTCGCTCCTCTCACCAGGACCCCCACTATTCTCACCTGGACTTCTGCCCCTCACACCGGGACCCTCACCTCTCAGCTGGACCCCTACTCGATCCCTCACACCAGACCCCGCCCCTCTCACCCGGACCCTTGTCCCTTACACCAGACTCTTAACCGATCCCTCACACCAGTGCCCCGCCTCTCACAGCCGGACCCCGCCGTGCGGCCCTCCTATGGGACTCTCGCGTGTCACGAGGACCCTTTCTCGACCCCTCACACCAAACCCCCGCCCCTCTCACTCGGGCCCCCACCCTTTACCCCGGACCCCTGCCTCTCTCACCAGGACCCTTATCTGACCCCTCACACCGGAACTCCGCCGTTCCCCAGGACCCTTACCTGAGCCCTCACCCCAGGACCCCCACTCAACCCTCATACCGCGGCCCCCGCGCAGTCCCTCACATCCGGACCCCCGCGCGGCCCCGCCTCCGGGATCCCAGCCCAGCTTCTCGAAACCTTATTCCCACCAGGTGCATGAGTCTTGAGGGAAATGACCATTTTTGCCTAAGTTGTGAGCAGTTCTTGTCTCAAGGTTGCATGTCTGGGCTTCACCAGTGCGGCTGTGCCCGCCCTGTCCACAGGCAACTGCTTCCCGTTCCCGCTCCGGGTTCGAAGCTGTGAACCCTAGCCCCAACCTTGAGACTCGGAACAAGATGCTGCACCCTGTGCCTCAGTTTCTTTATCTGTAAAATGGGGCTATTACAGCACTTTTCTCTTGAGAGTGTTATAAGACTAAAATACTTCAATATACATGCAAAGCACTTAATACTTAGAAGAGGGTTGTTAGCCCCGTTTATGGAATTGTTAAAAGTTAATTAAAATGTCCAATACATGATTGATTGTTAAAAACAAACTGGATTAATTTGGCTTCAGAGATGGTGGGTGGCATTTCCCATTTGGATGTTATCCTTCCCCAAGGCCTATATCCTAATGAAGGTCCTTTTTGATGCCATTGGGATTAAGTTCTCCCTCAGTATCAGGAAGGCTCTGCAGCTGTTGAAGTAAAGGGTGCAAGTGTTTCTTAGCTCTGTTTTTGAGACTTACATGCGTTTTCAGCTTTTAGAATCCATTTTTAATAATCTTATTATTCTTTGCGTTTCAAATTGATATGTTTTGCTGGGACCGGGGTAGTGAATTCTTGAAACAACATCTAATGTGCTGGTTTATAGTAATTCAGTTAATTAATCCCCACCAACCTTGAGGTAGATGCTGTTGTTATCTTTGTTTTGCACATAATACAGCATCTACTTGCAACTGTTTTGAATTCAGCATTCAAATATTTAAAAATTCTGTGACACGTGGCACATTTCAAAAAATGAAAGTGCAATAAGAAATGGGTGGATTTGAGAATTCTTGGTGATTAGATGCTCTTGGGAAGTCTGAAAAATTCAATTTAGGAATGCTTCTGACCTACTGCATTTGTTAAAGATTTTCATCCAGGGAAAAATGACAGATGCAGTTTAGAGTCTATACATATCAAATATATTTTTGCAGATTACTCCTAATTTCTGCTCCATTGTACTCATTATTCCCTCGATTTCTTGTTGTCTCTTGGTTTTACTTTTGAGCGTTTGCTAGGAATTGATAGTTAAATAAATTGGATCCTTTCCTCAAAGAATTTTATATTTTGTGTGACAGAACACAAGTTTTTCAATGAAATAAATTTTTCTTGTTTTTGAATCTACTTGTGATATTGTCACTTTAGAGATATGTAGGGGATGTATAGGTAAGTAAAAGTATAAGATTAGTAACATGGAGAGGAACTTTACAGTAGCTTAAGCTGAGAAAGGGGGTAAACAAACAAAGTATTGAAGGGAAGAGAGCAGAGAACAGTGGCAGCCAAGAGATGGGAGCCCTGACTTGGTTCCCTGCTCCTGGACTGGCTTGACACCTTTCTTTTGGCCAAAACGGGTCAGTGATTACTTGGGCACTTCTACACCCTTAATGTTGGCTTCCACAGTGTGTGTTGTGATTGTTATTGACTTGAGTCCTCTCTGTTCTACTTGGAGATGCTTAGCGATAGGGACTTTATCTTAAACAGATTTTTGGCATCTTCACACAGTGGCTGGTATCTGTAAGGTCGGTGAATGTTCCCTGTATTGTAGTATCTCTAAACTTGGGCTTGGTCCGCTGTAAAAGGAGGGGAATACCAGCTTTTCTGATGTTCCAGGTTTCTTGTGAAGCTTCAGTCAGATAGCATATATGAAAATGCTTGGAAACTGGTAAGGTGTTTTTATTTATATAATTAAAGGAAGCTATTACTAATAAATCACAGTCCTGAAACAGCTGAAGTTAGTGTTTCATTGTTATTATTATTTTTTATATTTTGATAAAGCAGAGTTTGTAGAAAGTAGGACTCTCTCTCTAGACTTTCCTCTCCCCCATACAGTGAGAGAGAGAAACTTCTAATTTAGAATAAAGTAGTGTCAAAATAGGATAACTTCTTCATAATACATTTGTCTGAATGAGAAATTGCTTACAATTTAGAGTTGTCACTGTGCTGGGTAGATTGGAGGGAAGAAGAAGCTTAACACAAACAAGATGCTGCCTTTATGGAAACGGGCAGTGAGTAACATCTGGATCTGGAAAATCCTTCGTGCCTTCTCCTCAGTCTGTTGAAAGTGTCTCCCTGCCTTTATTCATAACTCACATGTGACTGTAGTCTCCAACATTCTCACTGGATTCTCATCATCAACTTGTGATTGGGGTTGGCCCCAGGGAAGGTTCTGGTCATAGAATGCAGTGATTTCTTTCCAGAGGGCAGGTTTGCTGAATTTTGGACTCCCAAGAGGGAAATAAGGCACAGCAGTGTTCTTGCTTACTCACTTTTTTCTGGCTATTTTGCCTTTCTTGACTTGAGGGTCTCTTTCAGATTAAGATGGGGATAAAGTGTGGTAGTACATGGAACCCCACTCTTCTTAGACCCATCCCCCCAACCATGAACACATACAGAAGAATTCATATATGTGGCTCCCGAAAACATATCTGAATGTTCATGAATAAAAGTGAGATTATTAGAGATTTAACCTTGATTTTTTTTAAAAGAGTTAATTCCCAAATCTTTGTGCTTTATCTATTATTGTATCAAATTACCTTGGACATACCTCACAGCTGATTTTGGCATATCACTGCTGTGTGATATGTTGAAGCTTTTGCTGCTGAACTGCCTCAGAAGCTAGGACAATGGTATAAGATTTGTTCTTTGTTTTTAGTGACCTGTTGTGGGTTGGAGAGGAAATTCTTACAAAGTAGGCTACATTTTTCCCACTTCTATTACTTTATTCTTGTTAGTAGGTCTATCCCGTAGCTTGAACTTTAATCTGTTTCTTGTTTTCCTGCGTTTTGAGTATGCAGGGGCTCTAGTCTAGATGGAGTCAAATGAAAAGTTTGTGGGTATACAGGAAGGGACTTCTGTCTCAAGCTTTTTTCCTCTTTGTCTTTAATTTCTAAAATCTGTGGTATAATTCTTAACTTTCTTTTTCTTTTCTTTCTTTTTTTTTTTTTGTAAGTCAGAGTCTCACTGTCACCCAGGCTGGAATGCAGTGGCAAGCTCATGGCCACCGCAGCCTTGACTTGCTGGGCTCAGGTGATCCTTCCACCTCAGCCTTCCAAGCAGCTGGAACCACAGGCAAGTGCCACCACACCTGGCTAATTTTTTGATTTATTGTAGAGACGAAGTCTTGCCAAGTTGCCCAAGCTGGTCTTGAACCTCTGGGCTTAGGCAATCCTCTCGCCTCTGAGTTCCAAAGTGCTTGGATTACAGACAGGAGTCACCACGCCGGGCCAGTTCTTAGTTTTCAAAATGACAGCCTGACATTGCCTTAGTGTCAGTTTACATTTGTTGTGCTTCCTAAATATTTCATGGTATGTAAAATTCTTATGTCCAAATTCTACTCATCTGTCAAAACCCAGGCCAAATGCCCCCCATCTTAGTTGTTATAACAGAACATCACAGACTGAGTAACTTACAAAGAAAAGAAATTTATTTCTCACAGTTCTGGAGGCTGGGAAGTCCAATATTAAGGTGCTGGCATCTGACAAGTGCCTTCTTGCTGTGTCATCCCATAGTGGAAGGTGAGAAGGCCAGAGAATGTGCACATAAGAGAGAAAACCAGCCAAACTCATCCTTTTATCAGGAACTCATTCCCTGACAGCTAACCCACTCCTGCAATAATGGCATTAATCTGCTAATCACCTCTTAAAGGCTCCACCTCTCAACACTATTACATTGGGCATTAAGTTTCCAGTACATGAACTTTGGGGAATACATTTAAACCATAGCACTCTCTTATTTCTGATGTGACTACTTTCTTAGAACATCCGTTTATTGCACTTGTCCCCTCTTTTGGAGTTCTTGTCACTTTTTGTTTTTACATTTGTTATTTACATATATTCATTCATTTAATAATTATTGAGTGCCCTCTGGGTGTTAAATAATATTTCAACTGTCAAAAGTCATATTTAGCTATTTTCCCAGTGATCATAAGGCCTTGCACCACGTTGTATTGAAAGAGTAATGCATATACACACACCAGAGAAACAAAAGTTAAAAGAAACAATAGGGTAGGGTTAGTCTGCCTCTACCCTACATTTCCCTTGGGTGTTCTCTGGTGTCTATTTTTCTGTGTTTCTGTTCAGAAATAATCTGCCAGTGACTCCCAAACCACGGTTCACA